CCGCAACCCTACCGCGAGAAATAGTCGCGATAAGTGCCTCAAGGATGCTGCTAAGGTCCTCCGCCCCCTCCCACGCACCCGTTTATTCCTCCCTCAGTACCAGCAACAATATTGTCCCTACAGCATCATATTTAATCCCCTGGTTCGTAGTTTTTCAACGTTCCTGTTCTCTCCGTCTTCATTTTAGCGTGCAGGTAGAAAAAGAACAAGCTCACGATAGAAAAAAAGGTATCTCAGTCCCGGGACGCCTTTTAAGATCGATTAACCACCCAGTAACTGTTTGAATGAATGGAACTTTCGCTTAGACGATAGTCACCGATCCCTCTGAAGACCACAGTTATCCCCCTTTAGTATCCGTCCATTTTAAACTTTTTTCCTACATATGTGCTGCAGATGAAGGGTTGATAGTTCGACCATCGATTTCGATTATGTCCACCATATGCTCCAAAGGAGTTGGTGCGGAGGAGGTGAATTGCAGCAGGGGTTAGTTTTAAGTTGCGCACCGTCACCCGCCGGTGTTATGACAGAGTCCAGACGACCGACACAGGATCCAGCGTTGATCGCTTTCTCCAATGCAGGTCAGAACACGGCGCGTGATTTAGTTTTACGTGATAGTAGACTTCGCGATCGATCTGCCTGGCTTAGCACATTCGTTTAACTTGGGTGTCTGTCCGGCGACTCCTAGAACACTTCAGTACCACAGAAGCGGGGCATTTTATCGTTTAAATCTCAGGAGCACTTAAATGCCCGATGGGACTAACTTCTTAGCACAGTTGTCTAACTTAAATGTGTTGACCTCTAGCTGTCCACTTGGGTAGTTTCCCGACTAACTTCTTAGAACATTCATCTTATATGAGTATACTAATCCCCAGCTGTCTGAACGGCGCCTCGTTGCTAGGAGACAGTTCAGTAACACAGAAGCAGAATATGAAGTTGATAAAAATCTGAAGAGCACTTAAATGTGCTCGTAGGGCATCGGCCTCTAGTATGAAGTCCCAAGTTATGTCGGGGCAACTAATAAACGTATGGGTTAACGAAAAGTTAGTAAATAATAATCCCGGTTTCTACCATGTGTGCTTAGTCATTTCGAAGCTAACTTTAGACTTACTACAATAACTAACTATAGGGTGGAGTTTACAGAACTTCTCCTGTCTTATAAGGGAGCAACCAGCTCCAGAATCAACTAAGCATACCAAATTAGTAGGTTCCGTAACTGTATCAATGGCTGAGAAATGAGACATACATCCTATCTTTGCAATAAGCATATCAGATGGGGATATTTCACTTACTGGCTTTCTCATTCCCATCTGAGTTGATCGTGTGAACACCCAAGTTATCCTAGAAGCGGTTTTGGCGAGCACGTTGTCCCTGTACGGAGGAAGCAGACCAGTAGGTACGGGCAGATTACGCCGGATTACCCCTTTCTGTTGGCGAATTTGAGGTTCTCGCGAGCAGTGGGTTGTGAAAAACTGCCAGCACTGACAACACACCGGTGTACGTATCATTGGTAGTGGATGGTATTTACTAAATACCTAAATGCCTACTAAATGCAATTCAGTAGGCGTAGTTCTGATTTGCTCGGAGGTTTCCGACTTGACTCAGTGCTATAGCCCCATTGATTTGAAACTTCCTCCCAGTTATTCCCTTTTAACCTCCGTTCTTTTCTTTTTCTTTCATACAGATTTGCTGCAGAAGAAGGGCTACAAATACGAGGACGTACGATCCGCCAGTAAAGCCGGTGGTGGTTTCTTCAAATTCATCCTCTCCGTGGTGTCCTTCTATGATGTCGCCAAGGAGATCCGGCCTAAGCGAGAGCGGGTCAAAATGCTGGAGAAGGAGCTCATGAAGGCCAAGCGGGAACTGCAAAGACTGAACGATGAGGTGGCCTACCTCGAGGAAATGCTGTTGAATCTGCGTCGTCAATATGCTGAGGCCCAGAACGAAATGGAACGCCTGCGGAACGACATGAATATCATGCTGCGGCAGTTGCTCGCTGCCGAGAAGCTCACTAGCGGTTTGGCTTCGGAGAAAGTCAGGTCTGTCCTCCTCTGTCTGCTCACATTTGTCACTACCTGTTGCTGTCTCAGAGATTAGGTGTTCGGGTGCGAACCAGACGAATCAAATTACGGTTACGGCGGTCGCCATTCCTTCTCATATTTAGTGCTCTTATGTTGCTTACCGCTAACCTCAGTTTAGACAGTTATCTAAACGCGGAGGAATTTGAACCAACCACAGCAAGGGCAAGGCTTGATTACAGTCAATCTGACTCACGAGTATTACACATATTTAGTTTACTACTCGTGCTAGACGAGTAGCCATATTTTGTTACTATTTCGACACCAACAGCTTTGCGCTCTTCGCTTGCAAACATGGAATTGAAGTATTTTTTTCTATTTTTCTTTTGTATCCATGTAATTTTTAGCCACCTCATTACCAATAGGGCACACAAGGGCATTCACCTATCTTCCCCTCAATGAACTGATACTGAACGTTTCAACCACCTGAGCCACGAGCGTTGGCTGTACTCAAACATTGTCCTTGTTGTCGTGGGGTTCGTTGTATAAATGAAAACACTCGAAGAAACCGATAATTTGGTTGAAACATTTAATTGGCGAGTCGCCCGACATGCAGGC